GAAACAGGAAACCCTGGAGCTCTACTCTCTTTCTCCGAAACGAAATTTCGGTAACTAACGATTTTCAAACGAAATTTCGCCAGTGACTCTACTCTATTTTATTTTCAAACACGCACATAAAGTTCGGAATTACAAACAATTTTCGTGAACGAATGAATTGAGTCCTGTTTGTGAGTTCTTTTTATGTTTACTTTTTAAATAACGTTTTTTACTTGGAAACAATGTTACTTTATGACAACATTTTTGGTGACATTGAAAGAACCTTTTTTGACAGTGTTAGGCGACTAATTTATAGAGTTGATACAATCGACTGTATGTCAACCTAAATTTGTCGTTTAATATTTTTAAGTATTGGAAATACAATAAATAATAAAAATTTCGTTTCTTTGTTAATTTTACATGCTATAAAATGATTCTCGAGCTAAGCAGCCTGGGTGAAAAATACTCTATAAAGCATTTTAGACTTAATTCAAATAAAAATCCAAAAAAGAAAAAGTAACACTTTAACACTTTTCTTTTCGTCAATTTGAGGTTAAAATTTCGAACAATTATATGTCAAATTCAACTTTTAGTTCGCAAGTATTGTGAATTAGAGTAGGCTTGGAGAATTTAACTGTGAAACTATTTTCGGACGAACGAATTTACGAAATGAAAAAGAAATAGAGTAAGAAACATGCGAAATTTCGATCGAGATTTCGTTTTTCGTCGAAATAGAGTAGGCCTCCTGTTTCCGGGAAAGACGGGGTTTTGTTCAACGTTTAGAGAAATTTATTTATACAAAAGATTTATGCTCTACTAGCAAGAGCGGTTTGTGATTGCGTAGATTGCTTACGTGACTTTTGAGGCTCAAAATCTCACATTTGTGCTATGGAAGGCCTTTAAGCCGTAGCTTTCGCGTTCTCTGTAGAAGTTGTCAGCATTAATCGACTCTTTTTAAATGCTACTAGCTGATTCAGCGAACTTGGTAACGCCATTAAATAAAGGGTGGTAGAAGGGTGAAACTTTAGGGTTGAATGTATTTTTAATGCCACATTATAAAAAAAATGTTAGGGGTTGACAACCCTTGTCACTTAGGAGTATGAAAAATAGATGGTAGCCGATTCTCAGACCATTAGGTCTCTATTCAGTAGAAAATGCATATGTAATTTCACATAAATAGGTCAAGCGGAGTATGGTAACTAACATTGTGGCACGAGAATTTTATATACTTATAAGATATACATAGTAACATGTACAAAAATCAAGAGAGTATGCTCTATCAAGATGCTTCCTTCTTTCAAATGTTTAATATTTGTAAAAGTATTCATTTGACATTGTGAGTTACCTACAATGCGAAGAGATGGCGCTGCCTTGCAGCTTAAGAATGGCTAGAAGAATTTCGACGCGGCCGTCAGGGCCGCGGTAGCATAATTGGTCAGTGCATTCGCCCGGACAGCGAAGGGTGCGGGTTCGGGTCCCGTCTGCTGCCTGGTCCGCGTGGCATTTTTTCTAGTTATATTTTCTTTAGAATATAAGCTTCTTGATAGAAATAAAGTATTAGATATTTTTATTAGAATGTTACTTCCCATCAAATAATTATATTTTGATGAGTGAAGATAAGAATATCACATAGTTACTACTTACCTTATAAAATGATTACATCTACTTAAATTACGGTGGATGAAATTTATTTACAGTGTTGTATTGTAAATGGTAGAGTGGCATAGTATATTGACAGTCAAACGAACTTACCTGTAAGTGAAGTTCGACTGATTACTTAAACGATGTTATTTGCCCAAGAGATTATACTCAATTCACTTGTAGTAGCACGATCATTCATTATCTACTGCCATTGTACAAGTGAATTAAGTATAATCTCGAAGGGCGAATCACAGAAGTTTGATTGAAAGCCAAACGAACTGACCTGTAAGTGACGTTTAATTGAAAGTCAAACGAACTGACCTGTAAGTGACGTTTAATTGAAAGTCAAACGAACTGACCTGTAAGTGACGTTTAATTGAAAGTCAAACGAACTGACCTGTACGTGACGTTTAATTAAAAGTCAAAGGAACTGACCTGTAAGTGACGTTTAATTGAAAGTCAAAGGAACTGACCTGTAAGTGACGTTTAATTGAAAGTCAAACGAACTGACCTGTAAGTGACGTTTAATTGAAAGTCAAACGAACTGACCTGTAAGTGACGTTTAATTAAAAGTCAAACGAACTGACCTGTAAGTGACGTTTAATTGAAAGTCAAACAAACAGTTCTTAATTCATTTGTACGATGGCAGCACATAATGCGTGCTACTACAAGTGAATTAAGTGTAATCTCGAAGGGCGAATCACAGAAGTGTAATGCCCGTTAAGAGGGATGGGACATTATGTTAATGTTGTAATTATTTTTATCACTGCATGGATTAATATCTGAATACCACTCGCCTAATATCGAAAACAGTGAACCAGAACAAAATTCTTCACATAAACAATAAGAGCAACATCCTAAAAACATTTTTTTTGTTAATTCCAATATTTACTCAAAGTATTTACTCAAGTACTAAGATAATAAAGTTTTAAACTTCTCGAAGTGGGAGCATCTGTGCTCGTTCGTTGAGCCCTATTTTCTCCTTATTATAATTCTATTACTCTCATTTATTTCATTTCACAAGTTAGGTTTTTTATAAAATAGATATAAAAGTAAAATACAAAAATGTAAATACAAAAATAAATATAGTATAAAAAACCTAACCTAGAAAGCCACCAGCAGCGGAGCGAGGCCCAAGCTACCGGTGGTTAGGGCCGCAGAGAAAGAAACCGCCTGACGATGCGCGCCGTGTCCAGGAGTACTGCCTTTTGCATCTGCCCCTTGACCCAACCATCTAGCGAGAGGCTCTTTAGATGTTGATCGAGACTCTTCGCTATGAGACCGTTTACGCTAACGACTATAGGGACAATGATCGTCGAATCCACATCCCACAAAGCGGTTACCTCGTGGGCCAAGTCCAGGTACTTGCTGAGCTTGTCCTTCTCGGCCTTCACGAGGTTCTCGTCATGCGGGATGGTGATATCGATGAGCACTGCCTGGCGTTTCAATCGATCTGTCAATACGATATTAGGCCTATTGGCAATAATAGTCCTGTCCGTAATGACAGGTCGATCCCAATAGAGCGTTGCATGACCATTTTCAAGAACTGGCGCCGGTGTTACTGTTCTATTACTTATTGTTAACATGTCTGAGCTCTAAAAATATTATTATTATTCTCTTATTTAAACTTCGCTTTTGATATATGCATTCTATTTTAAGTTTTTTTTCTTTCATTTCTTCAGAATGTTCACCAGCTCATTAATTTTTAAAACCTTTTATCTGACTTGAAACGTATGCACGTATATTTGGTTTAAATGCTGCACGTGTGTCATCAGATCTCTCATAATCTTTATATATATAATTCTTCTGTGAGTGTGTATGTCACTGAACTTCTCTTAAACGACTGGACCGATTTTGATGAAATTTTTTGTGTGTGTTCAAGGGGATCTGAGAATGGTTTAGATTCACAAAGACGTGTAGACAGGACAACGTCTGTCGGGTCCGCTAGTTGATATATATTTTTTCATCCCCAGTTAGTAAGAATTTGGTCCGATCCTTTTCATGTTAGTTAACAGGGATTATGCATGTTTTTTTCTATATTTTCATTTAGTAGTTCACATCCCTTTTATAGAGCATAAAAAAATCAACGTCTAAAAATGGAATAGCGTCTAAAAAAAATTAAGAATAGCCACTGCACGAGCAGTTTAAACGCGCGCTATTTTGGAACGCTTGGATGCGACGTCACTTTACATATACGTATAAATAAGAGAGAAGAATTATCTTACAAGATACTGACATTAAATAAATGAATAAAATAAATATTTCCAACACACACCAATTAGCCTAGCCCCAAAGTAAGCACACTTATGTTATGGGATGCTAGGGTAACGGATAGAATACATATATAAGTATATTTATATAGAAATACGTAGTAAACATCCATGATTGGAGTACAAATACTCGTATTCATCACACAAACATCTGCCCCCACCGGGATTCCAACCCGGGACCTCTCAAGTCGGCGACACCATGAAACCCGGCATACAAACCACTCGGCTACGGAGGTCGTCACTTGAATTTCCTACAAGTTTTTCGCATTTATATCATTGATATCTTGCTCGTATAGAAATTTTATTAATAAATATTGATGGAGGGACCACTTGTAAGTAATAGAGTTTATCTATAATATAAAAATGAATCACAATCACAGCTGCACCGATTTCGATAATTCTTTTTTTAGAATATTCCTTGAAGTAAGAGGACGGTTCTTACGCAGAGACAAAATAAAAAAATTACCTGAAAATGTCCAAAAACAACACATACTCCCATACAAACGATTCGTAATAATACTTAAAAGTCAATTTGAACTTTAATACCATACCATAAATTTCAAATGTTAGTGGAGAGATTCTAAGGCAAAACAATTGAGCGACGTGATGCCAATAGAAGTTCTGAAAAGGCAAATATACCATTTTCAGTTTTTTTCTATAATGACTTATATGAAGAGTCATTTAAATCTACACTACAGCTCTACACCGAAGCGAGACGAGGTCGGGCCACTAGTATAAAAATAAAACGAGGCGTATTTGAATTACAGGCGTGACATTAATATTCCTTAATCTTACAAATATTTTATTATTATTGGCATTTGTCGACATCGACAAACCAAGAGACTCTTAAATCTGTATAATTCCCTCTTATTTCTTAATTCTACCGTTATTATTATGTTTCCTGTTATTTTTAGTAATAACATTGTTACTTAATATATTTCCCAGTGTTTTTTCCTTAACAGTATTTATAATTGTATGTATCAAATAGCCGATTGTTCTCAGAACAAGGTCTCCCGCCGTAGATTTACGAACCGATGACGTAGCTTCTAGACATTCATGAGTGCTTGTAACAGCCTAACCTGAATAAATGATTTTGATTATGATTACTAGGTACGAAAACTCTAACGCGGAACTGCCCCAAGTGCTGAACTCGCATAACGAGGAGATCAGGATCCAGCAGAGCAAGTACAAGCAGCTGAAGCAGCAGTATAGGGAGGCGACGCAGAAGCTGAAGGAGAGGGACATGCAGCTGCAGCAACTGCGAGACGAGCATCAACACTTGCTGGAGTTGAGCAAGGACAGGTGAGTTTGGTAGCCTTTTTTTTTGTCTGGGAAATGCTTTACGCATCCTTCAACCACCGGGGGAGCGAGAAGAAGGTATGTGGGACTCCTCCCTGCTCATTTCAGCCAGCCCTTAGGCCGGGTGAAATGAGCAGGGCCCTACCTAACGCCCTGAACAGGGCCACTAAAAACCAGAACATTCTGAGGACCGCAGTCCCCCCAATGCACGCCGGGAGTGCGGGTGTGGTCGCGGCAACCGTTGCCGACTGTCCGCGCACCCGCAAGGTGATTTTCCGCGAACGGACCCACCCCGATGAAGGTGCCCCAGAGTATCAGGGGCACCAGCATCAAGAGAGCTTGTGCAATGCAGGCCGGTCCCCCCCGAGGCAGACCCGCGGCTATCACAGGAGTGGGAGGGAGAGCGTAGTTCTCTCCGTCCCTCTCCCGCCCCCCTTGGTGAGTTTGGTAGCCTAAAGGAGCCTAGCTTCAATGTAATGCCGCTATTATACTTGGTCGCTAGCCCGAATACGACTGCCAATGGAATTCGGGTAAACGACTACATACGTGTAAATGAACGATGTCGACTACGCCCGTTTTCGGGTAGATTTCCTTTTGTTTACCCGGCACCGTCTTCTATCCCGTATTACAGTGTAAATATTGCTTCGTGTGCTCGAATTCGAGTCATATCTTTTGTGCACCCGAATATGAGCTAGCGACCAAATGTAATTGCGGAATAAGGTGTGTGTTATGAGGTAACAATTACAATAATGAAACATAATGTAACGTATATTAAAGATCGTCACTGTATAAAGTTACCTATTTCACAAAATAGAACATAGCCAGTAGAACCGCTACCGCCATTATTGAAAATATCTATTAGACAAGTTCGTCCGTCCGTTTGTGGTGCTGTTTCAGCGGCCAAACCGTAAGAGATAGATAAAGAGAATATTTAAGTTATAAGTTAAGAATAGTCTGATAAGACTACAAACCGGATTTGAGTAACGTAGCACTTCCGGTTTTCGAGAAATCACGAATTTCAAACGAAACCGCACAAAATCTCCGAAGTTCTCAATTAATTAAATACATTTTTTTTAATTGGTGAACATTTGGTTCACTGGTTTGCTAGTGAAACATAATATAACGTATATTAAAGGTCGTCACTGTATAAAGTTACCTATTTCACAAAATAGAACATAGCCAGTAGAACCGCTACCGTCATTATTGAAAATAATCAATTAAACACTCCTATATAATTTTTAAGAACACGTGTCGTGAATAAATTTTGCGGAACTGCGTGAGAAAACCTGTAAACGTAACGTCATGTGGGCGTGACAGGAATGAAGATTTATTCTGAGCATACGCTCCATATGAGTGTGAGGGTTATGTACCTTATCATCATTATCATCAGCCTATTAATGTCTCCAGTGCTGGAGCACAGGCCTTCTCTATGAATGGAATACGGAGATTGGGCAATGACCCTCCACAAGGCCCAATGCGGATTGGCGGGTGCTAACGACTGCAGATGCAGCCGGGACCAACGGCTAAACGTGCCTTCCGAAGCACGGAGGAGCTCGACATAGTTAATCTTTGGCCGCCCATCCAATGACCGACTACTGCGAAAGTTGTTTAACTTCAACGGTCGCAGCCGAACGCGCTAACTACACGCGCCATTGAGCTCCTCATTACGAACCTAATTTGTGGTAATACCTCATAAGATGGTGTCGTGTGAGGTAGGTCGTAACGTTCCCTAAAATATGGTTGAGTGAAGCGATGGCTGGTTCATGCTTCATGCTCGTGAACGTGTGCGGCCAGCGAGGATGAGTTTGCCCTAACTACTTTGTTATTTAAGATGTAAATGTTTAATTACACCTATTATAAATAACTCTATTTATATTTATACTGTGTGATAAAGCAATCAAAATGCAGGTGAACAATTAATGTATAATTTCACATTATGTAATGAAAGGTGACTTCATGAATCATCTCTGAAGTCATTCTTCAACTTCACGATTCTGTAAATGATAAAACAGGGAGAAAAAACAGCCCTTTTGAGTTTCTTGTCGGTTCTTCTCAGTACAAGGTCTCCCGCCGTAGATTTACGAACCGATGGCGTAGCTTCTAGGCATTCATATGTGCTTGTAACAGCCTAAACTGAATAAATGATTTTGATTATGATTATGATATATTTGTAAGGTCCCTTGATTGCCCTTTTCAATACGATCCTGTCACGATCACATTTCAAAAGTTTGTCACCTCTGTGAGTTGCTCGCATACGGGTTTTTATAGGGTTATCTATTCTGAGGACCCGATCGATGCGCGATGTAGAGACATTTTTTTCTATATTGTCAGAAAGTTGAAAAATAAAAACTGATGGTGAAAACCGCATGAAATTCCTTTTTTAACCTTTGAGGTTATTACGAACATACAGTCGAGTCATTTAAGTAATATAATTCATAATATGATTAGTGTCTTGTTTTAAAAGGCTGTAGTTATTGTAAGATATATTCTATACTTTCTATTCTACCATTAAATTCAATTATAAAGGGATACTTAAAATATTTTTAAGGGATTTTTAAAATATCTTTGGGAGAAGACAATGATTTCTGTAACACAGAGTTATTATCCTAGCATAGAAATCAGGGTATTCATTCTTTCATGTACCTACTTTTGTTGAGCAATAAAATTATTATAATTATTATTATTATACAGTTCAGACATACGAACAAACCACACAATAAATATAACAACACTCAAATCCTTTCTCCCAATTTTAGTAGTGTGAAGTTACAATGAAACAGGTGCGTAATATGTATGTAAGAAACTTTTCCCAAGCATAGCAAAATCTAAACTTCACTTTCAAACTCGAGGCTCTCGTTTCAATTAAGAGTTTTACCAAGTTATGGAATGAGTTTTGATGTCACTCTTAACGGGTACATGCTTCCCAAAAAAGGAACTTTGTTGATACAAATAAATACTGTGATAGAATTTATATCAGTTAGGATAAAATACAAAAGTATAACGTTGGAGTGAACATTATAAAAAGGAAAATATAAAATTGGTGTCTACGACTTTTACCTAATTAGGTATATTATAATATAAATAAAATAAATATAAATATTTCCAACACTCACACCAATTAGCCTAGCCCCAAAGTAAGCACTGTAAGGCTTGTGTTATGGGATGCTAAGGCAACGGATAGAATACATATACAGTACATATATAAGTATATTTATATAGACATACATATTAAACATCCATGACTGGAGTACATACGCTCGTATTCATCACACAAACATCTGCCCCCACCGGGATTCGAACCCGGAACCTCTCGAGTCTGCGACACCATGAAACCCGGCGTACAAACCACTCGGCCACGGAGGTCGTCAAACGAATTTGCGATGTGTCACTTTTTTTCTGGACACTGTATTCCATAATGATCTAACGTGGCGTGGAGGCGCCGCAAATCTATCAATTGCGAATTTTAAAAAAATGGATCTTATTAACAATGCAAGTACACACTTATTAACAATGCGAGGAGCTCGATGGCGCAAGTGGTTAGCGCGTTTGGCTGCGATCGTTGAACGTAAGCGACTTTCGCAGTGGTCGGTCATTGGATGGGTGACCAAAAATTAATATCTCGAGCTCCTCCGTGCTTCGGAAGGCACGTTAAGCCGTTGGTACCGACTGTATCTGCAGTCGTTAGCACCCACCAATCCGCACTGGGCCCGCGTGGTGGGTCATGGTCCAATCTCCCTATTCCATCCATAGGGAAGGCCCGTGCCCCAGCAGTGGGGACATTAAGAGGCTGATGATGATGATGATGATGATGATGAAGTACACACACTAAAATAACACACCAAGACTAAACTAGGTAAATTATGGAGTTAAATATACTCTTAAAACCTCTTTTAATAATTTTATGATCCATGACTTGCTAAAACGCATTCAATTTTCATTACAAAAAATGCCACGAAACTTTCAGAAACTTACTAGAACGCGAGAAGTTACAGCACCAAGTCACAGAGTTGACAGCCAAAGTCCAGCAGCAAAACGAGACTATCAGTATGCTCCAAAGACGCATTGCACTGGAGGCGAAGAACTTCCGCCATCAGTTGCAGAGTGAAATCAACAAACACAAAGACACTCGCCACGACCTGGACATTGCCATTAACAATGCGGACAAGCTGTCCACAATCATTGAGGTAATGAGTAACAAAAAAATTACGTAGAAAATAATGCTACACACTTGTGATTTTTATCGGTGTAACTTCTATAAAGACTAAGTAGGATCAACGCCTTATACAAACCACCTTGCGGAGGGTAGATGAGTGTGTGGTAACTGGATGATGCAGTAGGAACCGACGGCTTTACTCAGCACACTGGAACTCGAATTATTAAGTTTTTGTCACTCCTGCCATGGCCAGTCATTGTGAAAATTGCTTCACTTCCACAATAGCACAATGAATGTGCAAACCACTGTGCCATCGAGCTCCTTTTGCATTATTAGTTACCACCAAAACATGCAAACAAACGTGAAAAATGTGTTCTCTGTCTATTACAACCGACTACGTACAGGGACTTTTTCAACAAATCAATTCGTCACCTCTTAATTTAATTATTTTGCACAATATAACCATATTCTGCTATGAAAGTTTAACAGTAAACTTCAATTTGCTTTTCCCAGATGAAAGAGAAGATGCTTAGTACCGCTGCTAGTCGTATAGTAAAGTCTCCAGTCAAACCATCCTCCAACAATAGTGCTAGACCGGTGAGCCGGACTAAATCTGGACAAGATATCAACAGATCTGATGAACGGTCAAATGTTAGTAAATTTTCACATGAAGTAAGTTCACAGGATTTTTACAGTTTGTGGATTTTTATTTGTTGCTTCTTTTATTTGGTAACTAAGGAAATAAGTTTTGTAAATAAGTCTGAATTGAGTTTTTAAGATTATAATATAGCGTGTTATTTGTGCAAATCGTTCGACTATAGAAATATATATTTTCTTGCAGTTGGACCAAACAATACTCGCCAAACTTTGTGAAAGCTCTCGCCATATAAGTAGCTCCTTGTCACACGAAGAAGACAATTCTTCGTCAACAGAACCTCGATCTCGCTATGCAATAAGAAGTCGCACTAATTCCACTAGTAAATCTACGCCAATCCACACAAGAAAGAGTTCAAAAGGTCCTGATGAAATACTAGAATTAGCTAAAACCGTACAAGATGGCATGGCTGATTTAGCTATATTTGATGATGAAATAGATTTCAAAAGTAGTCCCCCAGAAGAAGTTCAGAAAAAAATAGATAATTTAAAAGCAGATCTTATAAACAAAATAAAAGGAGACGAAGTGCCATCTAGAAAAACTAGTGCTTTAAGAAGAAAGTCAACGGAGGAGTCTATTGAGGAAGAGATTGCTGAATCTGAGGAAGTCGAACGTCCTAGATCTAGAGGAAGAAGACATTCCAACGTGTCTTTTTACGAAGATGTTACGGTTGAAGAAACTTCGACTACTATTACATATAGTGATGATGATATAATGAAACGCGATAATAGCGTTTTAGAGAAGAAAATATCAGGGAAGCCTGTGGAAAAATACTGTAAAGACATAATACAGGATATCGAAAGGAGCAACAAATTGATAGAGAAGCACGTTAAACAATTTAATAGCTCTAGATTCGATAGTGACAAGCTTGTGCAACAGTTACAAGCTGTGGATAAAATTAACGATTTCGTCAACTTTAATGGCGAAATACCAGAAGAAGCGTTAACAGAGTTAAATAACAATTTCAAGATGTTGACAGACCAAGTAATAGTAGATACAAAGCCAGTAACTAGGAAAAGATCAATATCGGGCAGGAGAAGTTCAAGGTCAGATTCTAAGACAACTTTACTGGATGACGTTAGTATGAGTAACCAAGATTTACTGGACGATTTATTGGGAAAGAAATGACATAATCCGATCCCACTGAGCTATATCAGATTTTTTGTATGTATTGTATTCCTTCCAGGTGAAGACTTACAGTCGGTTCTTTATGGCCGAGTTTTATAAATATTTTATTTACATGTGGTATATCTGTGTTCAATGATTGTTATTGGCAGTTAATTATAGTAGATGTGATATGATTGGACGCGGGTGAAACTACGAAAGATGTTTGGATGTGAGACTTTCTTTATTTAAGTTTGAATATAGTTCAATCGAGATTATGTAAAATACAATATGTATTCAACTATAAATAAAATACGGTTTCAATTTTGTCTTTTGGAACAACCATTTCACACGAATTCAGATTATAGCAAAATTATACGAGTATCTGATAAGTAAACTTTGGATTATCCTGTAATCACAAACTTTGCTCATAGTAAAAGAATGTTGTTGTCATAAATTCATAGTGTCTACTTTCACTGGAAATATAGAATTTCAGTACATTTGATACCTTGAGTACGAGGTATAAATAAGAGGCTTTACATACTGTACTGATGTTGACAGCGGAAAAAATTCGAAGTATTCAAGAATGATGACAGCCTGAGTCTGATAGCTTGCGTTATGAGACTGGCGGTTTATCATAATATTGTTTGTGTTATTACTTACGTCGCCGCCCGCCTGTAATGTGTAAAACATTTTTTTTGAGTGTATGCTGTTGGTCGCAGATGACCTTTACAGCGTCACCGGGTCTGGGGACGGCGAGATCCTCAAGCCGAGAATTGGCGAGTGCCTCTAGAGGTATACCAGGCGGATGGCATATCCCCACGGCAGGAGTTTCCTTTCCGTCTAGAACCTCTAGACCATTCGAACCTGAGGGGGTCGGCTCAACTAGAGGGCGTCTCTCGGACCTCGGCTCTAGTTAGCCGTTGCCATGGGGGGATGTTAAACAATCTACAGGCGCTTTCATTTATATCTCTCCTCTCCCTTTCGCATCTTTGATGGTTTTAAACAAAGTTTTTCCATTTTTTACAATTTGCACATTTTGTACTTACATCATGTTCACTACTTATTTATTAACGACAGCACAGTCATTAAAATTATTACCTTAAATCGGTATCGACTGAATGTAAATTTTGATGTTAAGGGTCGCTTTTCCCGTACTTGAATCTTGATGTATCACCAACAAACACTATATAGATCTTAAATCCATAGGGAAACTAGCCTAATAGGAAATTGGGCCACAGCATTGTGTGCTGATTTTCCATCATGTGAATGAGTTTTTCTACATAATGTTATTTATTTAAATTATGTGATTGAGTAATAATAAAATGATTATATTTTTGACAAACGATGTTTTATTCCAATGGGCGGTTTTGTAGAATTATTTTTTAAGATTACAAATTAATATCTGTTTTGTAACATTTTGCTCTTTGATAATAACAATAACTAGATTTTATGGATCTTCTTCTTCTGTTATTTTTTGTATAGTTATTTTATAAATTACAAAAGACAAATTAAAAAGAAAAAGACCTATATCAATGGTCATATTTACAATTTAGCTACTGCATGTTTGCGTCATTGTCTCTTAATGATAACTGCAGTTCAGGTAATTTATTTAAGATTTGTTGAAACTATTTCTCGGTATTATAGAAATTTATGTTATTTACGGGATTGTTACCATGTACCTTGTTTTTAGCGAGCTTCCGATATTTCGGCACTGTTGCAAGCGCCATGATCACGGAGTAACACAGTCATGGCGCTTGCAACTGTGCCGAAATATTGGTATATTTCGGCACGGTATATATTAATGTGCCCACTACTGGGGCACAGGCCTTCCCTATGGTTGGAATAGGGAGATTGGGCCATGACCCACCACGTGGACCCAGTGCGGATTGGAGGGTGCTAACGAATGCAGATGCAGCCGGGACCAACGGCTTAACGTGCCTTAAACGACTGCAGATGAAGCGAGACAAACGGTTTAACGTGCCTTCCGAAGCACGGAGGTACTCGAGAAAGAAGATTTTTGGTCACCCATCCAATAACCGACCACTGCGAAAGTTGCTTAACTTCAACGATCGCACCGAACGTACTAACCTGTAAATGAAATAATATGTATGTAGTATTTGTAAGTACGTATAATATTTTAATTAACACTAGTTTGCTCGACGGTAGAAGAAATAATAAATTACCTGTCATTTATTTCTTTGTCCTGAATGGCGATGTATTGCGGTCGGTGCGACTCTAACGATATTTCTTTCCGTTCACGTTTTATGAAAAATGTATTTTGGCGAAACCGACAACGAGCAGGAAATAATGTACCTATTTCGTTAAACAAACGATCGACCTTTGGGACCGATCAGAAAAAAATCTAGTTTATATTTATCTTGAGGGTTAAAACTTTGAATGTTTACCATTTCTTTTGTTCTATAATCTGAGATTGTTGGGTGGTCTATAATCTGAGATTGTTGGGTGGTCTATAATCTGAGATTGTTGGCGGTTCAGAAGTACTCACATAATTACCTAAAGTCTTTAGAAAATGACAAATTATATTTTCTAAGAATAAACGCGTTGTTTTTAATAGGTTTTGTTATTATAAGCGTATTTTCATATATTGTATGGCTGACCAATATTCTGTGCTTCTGCGCTTATTCAGCTAGACAAGTTATCACTTATTTGTTTCTTAAAATTTCACGCACACGCTGAAAATTGTTCAAAATGCGTCTTTTTAATAGTTTTTTGACGTTTCACATCCTTTTCCGGTTGCGTAACCAAAATAGGGTATTTGCAAATGTAAAAAATAAAGAGCCAATTGTTAGCATCTGTGTTTACAATGAATATTGGCAGGGGTTTCTACTATATTTACAAAAAAAAACTTCATTATTTTACTAAAAACTAACGAAAAAAAATAATAGTTTTCTTATCTATTGTCACGTGACCCAAAACGCTTGGGATTGGCGGAGCCTAAAATGACGTCACACTCAAGTAAACTTCAGGTTAAAGTGACATTACATTGTATCGTTTGACATTTTAATAACAGTCGTGTGACGTCACGAGAGTGCAGGTAATAATTTTGGCTAAAAATAGGCTATAGACTATCTCCAGCTGCTAGACCGGAAGAGAAAGATAAAATCATACATGTGATGAAGGCGGCAGCTGCTAATTAGTAAGCGCAAGTAAGTAAGATAAGATAACACCAAAATACAATATAAAAATAACATTAACAAATTGAAGTAGAGTGTCACAAATGGAGGTCTTATTGCTAAAAGCGATTTCTTCCAGACAACAGTTGAAGTAGGTAGAAACAAAGATTGGGGTGTTAAATTATATTTCAGCATCATCATCATCAGCCTATTAATGTCCCCACTGCTGGGGCACAGGCCTTCCCTATGGATGGAATAGGGAGATTGGGCCATGACCCACCACGCGGGCCCAGTGCGGATTGGTGGGTGCTAACGACTGCAGATGCAGCCGGGACCAACGGCTTAACGTGCCTTCCGAAGCACGGAGGAGCTCATGTTATTAAATTTTTGGTCACCCATCCAATGACCGACCACTGCGAAAGTTGCTTAATTTCAACGATCGCAGCCGAACGCGCTAACCACTTGCGCCATCGAGCTCCTCAATTAAAATAGTATAAATATATATATAGCTCCTAAATTATATTTACATACAAGCTAAAAAAACAGTAAGTGGTAAAAACTTAAAGTAAGAAAGTAAAGTGAGAAAAAGGCTATCAGTTTCGGTAAATGGTTTCGGCAATTCTTTGTTCGATTTGGATGTGCGTATCCGTTTTTGGAAGTATCCTATATTTCACAGAACGGTCTAGCATCTGTTCAACTATTCATTTATTTATATGTTGAAGTGGCTTACCAACTAAAAACATATAATTCATCACAAGAAACATATAATTCAGAGAAAAAGTGGTACATATGCTCTTAAATTATAGGTATGTACAACTTTATGTACAAAATGTAAGTTAACTTTAGTTTAAGTAAGGAATTCCAATTAATTATGCCGAATCAAATAATAATATTAATAATACAAGAATATTAGGTATAATAAATGTCTATATCTATCTATAATTACAATCATTTCCATAAATTCATATAAATCTATTCATCACATATTACCTTAGAGAAGCATATTACCTACTAACAATTAAGAGACGAAAGACAGTTGAAACTAATAGTATTATTTTAAATGAATTATTTCAGCAATTCAATACAATATTTTGAATTGTTCATGAGGTTATCCAAATTAATTTGATTTTCGAGAAGTCAAGTTACCGAGCTCATAATATTACTGATAGAAGATTATGCGGGACAAAAAATCCTATGAGAATACAAGGAATTCCTTTATTTGTACCTCCTATACCGCGTAATAGAGTAGCTGTCGGAAGCCAGCGTTAATCGAATCGCCTGCGGGCTCACGATTTTTTAATACAGCCGAAAAATGGTTCCAATATAAATATAATGTAATCTAATATTTTCGCCTTAATTAATATATGAAGAGGGAGCTCGAGTGCGTAGGTGGTTAGCGCGTTGGGCTGCGATCGTTGAAGTTAAGCAACTTTTGGATGCGTCATTGGATGGGTGACCAAATATCTTCTATCTCGAGTTCCACCGTGCTTCGGAAGGCACGTTAAGCCGTTGGTCCCGGTTGCATCGCAGTCGTTAGCACTAAGGCTTTCAGTCTCGATACATTTTCGAGTCCCGGGAAAAAAATCGAGACTGGGTCCGGTCCCGGGATTCCCGGGTAAAACGAGACCTTAGAGACTGAAAATAAGTTTCATACTCAAGGTTTATACAATTAGGCAATTAATACAATATGTTTTAATTAAGTACTTTAATAATCAACTATTACAATATAATCAAATATAAGTAATAAAAAAGGGTTGAACAAGGTTATAACAAGAATCTAACAGCATGTGAAATCAACAGCACATCATATAGAATTAATAGATTATTTTACACAATTAATTATTTTGTGTCATCAAGCTGTCACAACAAACCAAAAAATTCACAAAATATGACGCAAATAGTTAAACTAAATATTATTTTGTTTGTAACTTATGCTTTCAACATGAATAAGATACATATCTTTTAATTTATCTGCTAAAAAAGACATCGTACTATATAATTCACATTTTTTATAAGAAACAAAAGCGAAGTTGTGAACGTATTGTATTTGAGTTAGGTTGCAATCTTTACACATTATTCAGACTTTTTTTTTATTTAATATGTTTTACGGATTATCCTAACTTTCACTTTACAGTGTTGCCACGTGCCCGAATTAAAAAATGGTAGTTATGTAGATTTTTTAGTAGATTGGTATTTTTTGTAGATTATTTAACTAAGTCTCGAAAGTCTCGAAAACTGGAGTTGAGGTCTCGAGTCTCAAAAATACGACAAAATCGGCGAGACTCTCGGAATTTTCGAGACCCAGACTCCCGGGATGAAAGCCCTAGTTAGCACCCGCCAATCCGCACTAGGCCCGCGTGGTGGTCATGGCCCAATTTCCCAATTCCATCCATAGGGAAGGCCTGTGCCCCAGCAGTGGGGACATCAATAGGCTGATGATGATGAATATATGAAGTATAACGTCAATAAATGAGGAGTTAGTTTTTTTAAAAGTACTAAATCCATACTTCTTTGGATTTTCACCCTAACGCTACGTGTATTCTAAGCAAATAGAAAAATATATTCTGCCCATTGAGCATGTCCATTACTTCCATTAAAGTAAACATTGGTTGAGCTAATCACGACTAGAACACGCTAAATTATAAATGAGTTCCCTCTTTCTGGCAGAAATCTTGTTGCTCCGAGATTTATTCGGCATAATCTTCATAACGATTATTTTTAGACATATTTTTTCCAAATGTTTATATGTATGGATGAAGTCGGGAGATTGGGCCATGAACCATCATTTACACCACGCGCCTGCAGCTAAGTGCATATTGTTGGGTGTTAACGACTCGTCAGATGCAGTCGGGCTCAACGTGCATTCTTGAACACGGAGAAGCTCGAAATGATCAATTTAAGGTCACCCATCCCATGATTGATAAAGTTTCTTTACTTTCACCATCGCCGACCGCACGTGATAAACCCTTACGCCATCGAGCTCCCCAGTGTATATATTTGTCCTTGGTGAATATCATCATCAGCCTATTAATGTCCCCCACTGCTGGGGTACAGGCCTTCCCTATGGATGAAATAGGGAGATTGGCCACAACCCACCACGCAGGCCCAGTGCGGATTGGCGGGTGCTAACGACTGCAGATGCAGCCGGGACCAATGGCTTAACGTGCCTTCCGAAACACGGAGGAACTCGAGATAGAAGATTTTT